TTTGGGAGAAGAGCTTTTATTTGTGGAGTGATCATTACTATAACAAAGAAGAGCTACCTAATAATTTCCACTTTAACTCTGCAATGTGCCATGAGCATCTCAGAGCCATTATGCTAAACTGGTGGGGTAATCATGTTATTGTCATAGTTTGAAGGAAGGAAAATCTCTACTCTGGTGGCTGGTGAGGCGTGGGGGAGGGATTAAAGACAGGAGACAAGCAACAAGGAATAGCCAAACTTTTTATTTCTAATGAAATTTAGAACTAGAAATTATCTTCTTGTCCTTGTAGATAGAGGGTGGGAAAAATTCATTGGTGAGGAGGAAAGAATTTTTTGTTGTTGTTGTGTTTTTGAGCGAATTAAATCAAGAATTTACTGGTGAAAGGGGTTTGTACTCAAATACACCTCCCCATGCCCCATTCCACACCATTTTCTGGGAGACGGAATGTTTATTGACGGCTGCATCTCTAGGCTTGAATCGAACTCTTGTAAATCTTTTCTCTGCCTAATTGCATTGGATCTGTCCATCCGCTGTGAATATTAAAGACAGTGGTCTTTCTCCATCTTTCCTCTGCTTTTCTCTGGGTATGAAAGGAAAGTCCTGTCTTCTCTGGGTGTTCTCTGAGCACCCAGACAATACTCACCCCAAAAAGAAGTGAGAGGGAGAGGGTCAGGGTCTGTGAATGCACACAGTTGACTGTTGGGGTGGTTGGTTGGTTTTTAATGTTGGTTTACTCTTTAAAAAGGATAGCTGTTATCAAATGTTCTGCTGTCATTTAATTTCTCTTCTCATAACCTGTTACCTTAATATATACTCAATGAAAACAATTCCAACCACATCAATGGCAATGGAGTAAAACTGAATCGTCCTCTTGTCTTGTTAAAACCACATTAATCATGTAAGAGCTCACTGCGGGACACCTGCTGTATATCCTTGTTTACAATCTGCTCACCTCTAACTGCACGTGCACACACACGCACACACATGCACGCACGCACACAACACACACATATGCACACCTTACCCATGTACACTGTGTGTCATTTAAGAATAAATAGGCAGAACCACACTAGTTATCAGTCTACAAATTGCTTCCCTCCCCGCAACTTAGTAACATATTTTGGCATCTTCCCATGTCAGCATGTAGAAATTTTTCTCACCCACCCTCGTGAAATTCTTTTTATTTTAGAAGCTGGTTGCGCTGTGATTTCTGTAACTGCTTTCCCTTTGGGCTCAGCTATCCTCATGAAAGTTTTGGTTTCAGTTCTACAGTAAACCCTTGGGCATATCTAGTTTTGGCCACAGCTTACAGATATTTCCTTATCTTCTTAGTTTGTGAATCAGGGTAAAAATGTAAAAACAGCCTATGAATTAAAATCCGCCCATGAATTTTGTATTTAGACTGTATATATTTAAAAATATTTTGAGCCTGGTGCTGCTAACTCATGCCAGCTACTCAAGAGGCTGAGAGATCTGAGGATCACGGTTCAAAGCCAGCCTGGGCAGGAGATTCTTATCTCTAATTAAACACCCAAAAGCCAGAAGTGGATTGGTGTCTCAAGTGGTAGAGTGCTAGCCTTGAGCAAAAAAGTTCAGGTACAGTTCCTAGACCCTGAGTTCAAGCCCCAGGACTAGCACCATGTGTGTGTGTGTGTGTGTGTGTGTGTGTGTGTGTGTGTGTGTGTGTGTGTGTGTGTGTGTGTGTGTGTGTGTGTGTGTGTGTGTGTGTGTGTGTGTGTGTGTGTGTGTGTGTGTGTGTGGTGTGTGTGTGTGTGCATGTGTGTGTGCATGCGTGCATGCATGCTTTTGAAAGATGAGAAGCCAGGACCTTACTGGGTTGCCTTATGCGGATCCCCAAAGGCCTGAGTCAGTCATCTGCTGTCCCCCTGAGTGGGACCTGCAGGCCCAGCTCCTCAGCTGGCTTCCCTTCAGCTTGCCTGGCATCCTGAGCTGTTGTATGCATTTGTATTTCTGGCCTTGGACCATTGGCATTTTGGAGCTCTTCATCTGAGAGGTCTAGTGTGGGCACTGTGGGGACTATCCCGTGCCTGAGCCCCAGATTTCACACACCAGTAGCATCCCCCTCCTCCAACCCACCAGAGCTTCACGTATTTTCCCAGCTTGCCCGTGGGGAATCAGCACAGCGCTCCCTGTATAGACAAAGGTGACCTCATAGAGGCCCAGCGCGCCTTGAGAACCCTGACGTCTACCTTAGAAAGTGCTGCGGTTCCAGGGAAGGACTGAGGACAGTACCCCTGCACCTTTCCCCTCCCTCAGGTGCTGTCCTCAGGGCTTTGTTCTCCAACATCTAAGAAGGCCATGCTGTGTGGTTTCTCACTAGCTTATCACTCGAGGAGGTCTTCCCTCAGACGCCTGGACCTGTAACCTAGAGCTGAGCCGCTGGTCACAAGTTTGACCTTCTTTCATCAGGAAGTGTTTGAAAGTGCATGTGTACATGGAGTGGGGGGGGGGGAGAGAGAGAGAGGAGTTAAGTATCAAGACAGCGGGTTTTGAGCATGCTATTAGCCAAGCGTCATGTAGGACGCTTGCTCTGAGGTATGCAAATGCATTCCTGCCACCTTTTTTGTGTCATGGCTAGCCTGGAAGGGACTCTTTATCTAAATGAAAATGATTACATGACTTAAAATTTAAAATATTGGGCTGGGTAGGTGGCTCAGTAGTAGAGTGCTTGCCTTGCAGGCATGAGGCCCTGGGTTTGATTCCTCAGCAGAAAAAGCTAGAAGTGGTGCTGTGGCTCAAGTGGTAGAGCCATAACCTTGAGCTGAAGAGCTGCAGGACAGCGCCCAGGCCCAGAGTTCAGGCCCCATGACCAGCATAAAAAATAAAATAAAAATATTAACAGAAACTCCAAAGTTCATGCAGATAATAATCACGAAGGCCATTCTGCAGTTGATGTGGGTGATCTCAGAGTCATGGATTCTTAGATCGTCTAGTAAATAAGATCCAACCATCAGAAAAGTCAATACTCGGTATTTCTCAGAGGTAGCAGCAATATTCCTATTTTACTCTGGCAGCCAAGTATATTGAGTTATTTATTAAAAAAAATAAAGCTCTAAGGCTATTAACAAAATGTTTTCTAACTGCTTTTTTTACAGAAAGTTTTGATATTGTTTTTAGATGGTATTTAATTACCTTATAAATTTCTTGAAATTACATGTGATCTTTTACCATTGGTTGAGGAATATATCACATAGTTTCACTTTTATCTTTACACTTTTGTTTAAGGACAAGTCCTGTGTCTGTAGGACAGTGGTCACGACTCCTTCCCCCACCACACAAATGTAAAAGGTTGGATAAGCATTTTGAAGTGAGGCATCTTTTACATTTTCTTGATAAAGTATTTTGGTCAGGATAAAAAGCAGGCAAGCAACCAGCCCGAGCTGTCTTGTTTTAGTGTCAGACTCTGTTCCTCTGGGTTCAGCCAACATGAAATGTTGAGTTTGGATATTTCCAAACTTTTCTCTGCAATTTTTTTAAAGATTAATTTGGATCAGAACCAAACCCATTGTACTTTGTGTGGTGGCACGTGAGCAATGATCTCACTGGAATGGGCTTCGTGTTTTCTTTCCTTCTTGCAAAAGTTAAAGCGGGACATTTTGCCAAATTTGACAGAGTCCAATAATTTCCTCTTTTTTTGTCAGTTTTTCCTCCCCTCTGTTAAAATGAACTAGTGTTCTCATTGGCTTCAATGCCTAGAAAGTCAATATTCAATACTTAATAAACTTTTATTAAACATTCTCTCTCTCTTCTTGCACAACTTCTCCTTTCCTTTAGAATTTTGCTTTGTTGCATTTCATAAAAGGAGTCATAAGAATGGCAGCAAGGCTTGGTGACGTTAAAAGCCCTCAGTGGTACCAGGATGCCCTCAGATTTCCCAATTATAACCCGAGAATTCTTCCTATGCCATACTGTTGGAAGTAGGCCATGTTCACTGGCACACCATTTCAGTCTGTTTGGAATCATTATTTGCAAATGATTTCCCACTTCCAAGGGCGGTGACCATGGAAAGAGAAGAGAGATGAAATCTTAAGAAAAGTCAGTCCTAGGATTTTCAGTCTGAGAAGCACAGGGAAGAGGAGCTCAGGGGAGGTCTTTGTGGTTCAGCATGGTCTCAGCCATGTGATGGCAACATTTGCCCTGACTGACCCACACTCTTTGAATCTGTAAAAATGAGATCCACAGAATGGATTTTAAAGAATTCTAGCCAGGTGCTGGCAGCTCATGTCTGCAATCCTAGTGACTCAGAAGGCTGACATCTGAGGATCACAATTTAAAGCCAGCCCTGACAAATCCAACAGAGTCTCATCTCTACTTAACCAGCAAAAAGCCAGAAGTTAAGGGGTGGCTCAAGTGGTAGAGCACTAGCCTTAAGCAAAATGTTGTGCAAAAGTGTGAGTCCCTTGAGTTCACACCCCAGTACTGGCATACTCACACAAGCAAAAGTATTCATTTTTTTAATGAGGACAAGTTTTGCTATGTTAAGGTAACAGACAGAATGTTTAGTGTAAGAATTCTTCCTGCTCCACTCTCTTCTCTTTCCCGGCCACTCATTGGGTAGAAATGTTTATTTAAAATTGTGTCATTTTTTTTTCCAGGAGATAGATTTAATTATCAAGCATTTCTGTAAGATTGTCAATACGTTCCAAAGTGTCATGTGTTTTATTTTAAATCCCTAGTATTTCGTAGATTCAATTTTACTCTCGTGTTCTATTTTATGAGGCTTCAAATCTGATAAAGATTGGAGTAAGAAAAAATATATGTATGTCTTACTAGAAACAATAAAAAAGAATGCCTTAAAGAATGAAGGGGTACCCTTAGATCTCTGGTCCCGATAGAGAGCTGGGAATGCTGAGATCTTGAGGGAGCTTTCTGTGAGTGAAAAGATAAAAGAATTTTTTTTTTTCTTTTTCTCAAGTCTCCCATCATTAAAGTTTGGTTCTAACAGTGGACTCTTTCTCTTTTTCATGTGTGTTGAAAAGCAGCTACTCCCTGTATCAAAGCCATCAGCCCCAGTGAAGGGTGGACGACGGGAGGCGCGACTGTGATCATCATAGGGGACAATTTCTTTGATGGGTTACAGGTCATCTTCGGCACCATGCTGGTGTGGAGTGAGGTAGGTGTTGTCTGAACATTAATATCTAATAGCTTGGTCTAGTCGAAGGCACTGTCTATTCCTGAATGTCTAATAGGATGTGTAAAAATTTCGTGGTGCCACTCTGGGTGGGCCAGCTCTAGTCGAGGGAACTTTGGGGAAGATCGGAGAGGTGGACTGAGTTTCCCAGGAGGCAGCACTTGCTACCCGAATGACTTCTCCCCTGTGGCCGTGAGCCCTGGTTGGTGTTGATGTGTTGCAACTCATCCTCTTAAGCATGGAGGTCATGATGGACATTGGGGATCAAGAAGGAGATACGGTCCATCAAGAATACATAGGAAAGGCCACCCAAACTTGGGAAAGGTAGTGATTGATCGGTGGAGTGGGTAGCATCTATTTGGGCCTGATTGATCATGGTCATCCGGGACGGGAGCTCCATGGGGGAGTCTGGAAGAGGGCAGCGCTTCTCTACCCAGCAGTGCACGCGCACAGGCGCCCGGCATTGGCTCGGGTCACTGCAGTTAGAGCGAGGACTGAGGTGCAGGACTGGCAGCGGGTCTCAGTGACTAGAGACGAGGGGTGTGGGTCTGAGGCATCCTGTAACGTCTATGCCCATCTCCGCCCAGGGCAACCCCATGCGATGGAGACAGGACACGCAGTAGATGGCTCACCTGCTGCCCTGGCACATTCCTAGTCTTGTTTTGTTTTCATGCATTGCAAAATTGTTGTTATAAAAGTGCAGGAGTGACAGTTACGTAAGTCGGGTAAAGAGTGTACTTCTTTCTGAACAGTGTCACCCCTTCCCTCGCTCTCTCCCAGTTTTTCCCTCCCGTCTCCACCCACAGATTGTAGAGTTCACTTTCATTGTAGTATCCAGTGAGCACCACTGCTGCCTTCGTTCACCCTTTGCCCCTCTCTAATGTGAAGATTCAAGGGAAGATATTTATGAACATGCTGTGAGCAAGTGGAGAGCTGGGTTCATATTGGCTGACATCCATTGAGCACTTGGTGGCTGTGGTGGTCAAATGAGCTTCATGGAGCTGCATTGGATGGAGTTTTTATGTCACGAATGCAAAACTTCTCCTGGGGAAAGTTAAGGGAGTTGAGTGAGAAAGTTGTCACGTGGTAGAGGAGGGACTTGAACTCCGATGGTCCAGACTGGAATGCCACTTCCTAATCTTTCACGATTCAGTCTAGGCTAGTCACCACCCTGGACCTCTCCTCATGAGTTCAGGGGACTGTGCCTGCCACTGATATGGATGTCTCGTATTGGGGGTTGGGGGGGGGCTGGTATTCCTACCCCCTTCCACAGTAAGGAAGCAGCAGTACGGCCTCAGACAGGAGTGAGGGTGTCCGTCATCATCTAGTGTGGGCTTGGAGGTTGGAGTCACCCGTAACCTTCTAGGATGAATTTATGAAGGAAAAGAGGCAAGCCTCAGACCAGAGGCAACGCAGCTAAGCTGTTTGGGCCTCCTCTCATCCGTGAGAGCCCTCTCTGTCCATAGTCCTTGCCCATCTACCCGTGGGGTTGAGGTGCTTGCTGTCCCTAAGACCTGCTCTATCTAATCAGAAGTCGACTTCTACGACTTCTCTCTTTCCTCATGCTGTAGCCCAAAGCACGCAGGAAGCAGGTGGTAGGGGATCGGATCAGCAGATACAGATAGCATTTGAGATTAGCTGATTATTTGGAGTCTTTTTTTAGCTCCAGAACTTTAACAACAACAAAAAAAAAGAGCTAGAGCAAATAGAGTTGGCTTTAATTTGCCCTCCTCTGTGCTCTTCCCCTACAGCCCAATCTGCTGTAAATGAGTAGTTCAGCCCAGCTTCCTGATTGACCCAGGAGGGCTGGGGAGGAGCAAGCAGGCAGCCTCAGGTGCTCTGGCCTGCTAGCGCTCCAAGCTCCATGGGCCTCCTCCCTGGGAATTGGCTTTGTTATCATGGCTGCGCCTCCTCGCTTGTTTCTTGACCATTTTCCATTCCTTATTTTTAGAAAGTAAATTATGACACTGGTATTTCACAGCCTCCTTATTCTCTGCCTTTCTCCCAAATACTGAAAAGCAGGGTGTGTGGTGGGAGGGGGGGGGAGTCTTCTTAGTGTTTTATATATAGATCTAGGGAAACCCACAGGCCCACAAGGGTTGGTGTGTGCTAATGTTTATAAAGTGTGGGTTGCGTTTTTTTCCTTAACCAGAAATGCTGGTGGTAGATTTGCCTTTCCTCCCACATGTGAGTGGAGTACGGAGGGAACCTCAGCTACCGTTGTGTGTGTGTGTGTGTGTGTGTGTGTGTGTGTGTGTGTGTGTGTGTGCGCGCGCGGCTCACCATCATTTTAATATCTCTTTCCGCATGCCTTGAGTTTTTAAACAATGAGGACCGTCTCGCTGGCGGCATGGTGGTTAGCGAACCCTGGGAGAGGCACCCAGGGCAGTCAACGCTGGGCTTTTGTGGCAGCTGATGTTTTATTTGGAAAGACAACTTGCTCCCATGAAGCAAATTAGAGAGTTGCATAATGTATTTATGTAATCTAGTATTAAATTTGTGGCTTAAAATCCAAGGCATGTGTTCTAGAAGGCAGAGAAAATGGAGGAGTCAGAAGGGTGCTGTTTGAAAAAAGCAAAAAAAATCAGTCAAGCTTTTTAACCATGCAACTGATGGATGGATGGTTCTTTGCTGAGTATTTTAGGCTGGGATGGGTGGAAGTCACAGACAGTATCCCCAAAGACCCTGTCGATTGCTGCGTTGCTCAGGTTTTGGATTTAGTTGGCTATGACCAGTGGGCCTCAGTTTCCCCCTCTGTAAATGAAGAGTGTAGATGATAGACTCTTTGAAAGTAGTGCTGTTGTCTTTAACCTCTAGAGCTTCTCTCCTGAGGACATCCCCACTCTGGGAAATGAGCCGGAGGTGGAGGCTGCTCCGCCCCTCCTCCGCCGCCCTCCTGAGAAGCAGTCACCGCCCACAACACGTCTGTCCGTGGGCATGCCTATTTGCAAAAGGACCCAGATCTTTCTCAGGACCATTGTCACAAAAGTGTGAGCCTCCCCCATTAGGCCATCTCCAGTCAATATTTTTTTTATGTCCTATACTTTAGATTTCTAGTATCTGAGATGAGACTTATACTACCGATTCATCTTCTAGATAATTCTGTGGAATACTAGTTCTTAGGGATATTAATAGATGTCCCATGGGAGACGAATGAGGGATGTTTTCTTTCTCCCCTCCCCCCTCCTCCCCCAGCCGGTTTGGGAAATGTAGAGTCAAACAAATCTCAGCTAGCCCTGGTTCCAGGAATTTGTAGACATTCCAAAATCTCCATGCGCACCATGAGCACCTACGCTTTTATAAAACACACAGAACCTCGTTCTCAAGGGTCACCTTACTGGAAGATATATTGGCGAGAGCTGAAGTGCATTTTGATTTTATGTTAATGAGGCCAAGTCATGAAATTCAATCATGAAGTGATGGGGCTGAGAGAACTGTGAGAGAATGGCTTGAAATATTTGCAGAGTATTATTCAGATTAGACCAGGAATGTTTAGAGCTATTATTCTTTAATGCAGCAAAGCTTTGAACAAAATATCTCATATTTTGCATCTGGTTTAAGTCAGTGCACGCTTGGTACGGGATGCCTGGTGATTTTGTAGGGCGGCTTTATTTAAAGATTGGCGATACAGCTAAGCCCAAATCAGAGAGCCAGAGTCACATGGCTGCATGAACCAATTAGCCTCACTCCCATCTAGATGAATGCTGTACTTTCTTTTTTTTAACTGCATTTCCAGAGATAGGAAAGGATGTAAAAGACACTGCTGGGTGAATGTTCTTGGGCAAATGGTAGCCTAGAGAGTTGGAATCAGAGTGTTTCTTGAATCCCTAAAGTGCAAAAATAAAGATTGTTCCCTTTTTTAATTTGGTGCTAATACTTGGGCTTGAATTCAGGGCCTTGAGTTCTTGCTTGGCTTTTTTGCTCAAGGGTGGCCCTCTACCACTTGAGTCAGACCTCTGCTTCTGGATTTTTGCTGGCTACTTGGAGATAAGACTCTCTTGGATTTGCCTGCCTAAGCTGGCTACAACCTAGACTCTTCAGATCTCAGGTTCTTGCATACCTAGGATTATAGGCTTGACACACTCGAAATCCTTTGTTTCTGTGTGCCTCTACTCTCTCAGTTGTTGTTTATACAGTCAGTGGCTCACAGAAAAACTGTAAAAACAAGAGAATTTGCTTCTTTGCAATACTAAAGACTGAATGGCTAAGCCATGCATGCATTCATATGGAAGGTTCCCGGGCCTTGGTTTTCACCGGACCTCATGTAAAGTCACAAATCTTTCAGAGTTTAAAGGGATGTGTCTAAGTCACCTCGTGCAGTATCTGGTTTGTGAGGAAGAAGGCCCCGCTTGGTGCTGTGATTCGCCCTGGGAGCATAGCAGCAGCCTAGTGCTGGTGGGAGTTGGTCTCTGTCAGCTTATAGTTGTGCCAAGTTTCCCATTCTATTTCTGTAATCTTCGAACAGACATCTATAAATTTACCAAACCTTTCCAAATACATGCACAATTACAACAGCACTCAATACCTTATCCACAAGCATGATGTGTGAGAGAATTCCACTCAAAATTGTAAAGAAAATTAAGAGACAGGAGAGAAAGACATTATCTCAAGTCTCACCTCCTTCCAAATTTTATCCTTAAAAAAATGGGATGCAATAGCATTGTCCATTTATTTTATATAGAAGTTTTCATGCAAAGCTGGGTACTGGTGGCTCACGCCTGAAATCCTAGCTACTCAGGAGGCTGAGATCTGAGGACTGTGGTTCAAAGCCAGCCTGGGCAGGAAAGTCCATGAGACTCCAGTGGTGCTGTGGCTCGCAGTAGTAGATAGCTAGCCTTGAGCAAAAAAGCTCAGGGACAGTGTTCAGGCCCTGCGTTCAAACCCCATGACAAAATAAAAAAAGGTCATGTAAATTGAGTGGATTAAAAACTGATTAAGTACATGGCTTGAAAGTAATTGAGAGCTGCTTTATTTTCCCGAAA